CCTCTGTGTTGGTTATACTGGAGTGCTGGTCAAAAGCTAGAAGGACAAGCAACTCCTACCTTTTCCAGAGCTGGCTTTTGCTCTTGGGCTACCAGAAAGGTATCTCAGTAGCCTGAGCCTTAATCTCCTGAGCCAATTAAATCTCAAGAATAATTTTAATACCTTTTAATTCACAAGCTATTACCTCTATTGTGTCATAGATCCCTCTGGAAGTCTGGGGAACCCTATGAACCCCTCTTCAGAGCATATTTTTAAAATGTATACAATAGGGGCAGCTATGTGACGCAGTGGATAGAGCTCTGGCCTTGGAGTCAGGAGGACCTGAGTTCAAATCTGACCTCAGACACATAATAGGCACTAGCTGTGTGACCCTGGGCAAGTCACTTAACCCCAACTGCCTCACCAAAAAAAAAAAAAAGCAAGAACAAAAAAAAAGAATGTATACAATAAAATACATAGGCTTACAAAGGAAACCAATTATATTTAAATAGTTATGAAAATATTTTTAAAACAAGTTCAGACCCTCCCAAGTTAAGGAAAAATTAGCCTAATCTCCACGGTAGATATTATTCTTGTCAATATGGCAAAACTTATGTTAGTCAATAGAGAGAAGTAAGTAGGGCCAGAAAAATCATTTACAAAATGATTGCAACAGTATAGATGAAAAAAAACCCCTAATAACAAAAAGAAACATTTGACAGTTATAATGATCATATTTGGCTCTGGAGAAGAGTGGAGAAAATATACCTCCCTCCCATCTTTGCAGACGTTGAAGATGGAGGTTGTGTCTCTCTTAAGACCTGGCTGATGATGAACTCAGTTATGCTGAACTGATTATTTTCCTTTCTTTCCTTTTTTTATAAAGAAAGGCTCACTGGGAAAGAGAGGAACATATATTTAATAATGATAGTGATATAAAACCAAAATATATTAACAAAAATAAGATTAAAAATAAAGACTGGGAATTTAGATAAGTGATGGGGCACACCTGCCCTCTTCTCAGAGTAGTGGTATAGAATAACACGCCATCATGTTAGCACAGTACTTCACACACGGTAGGTACTTAATAAATATTTATTGACTGACTGTTGGACAAAATCAAGATGTTTGCTTGTTTTCAGTTGAGCTAGAGTGGCGGCTGCGCAAGTAGAGGAAGGGGAAGATTTGTGAGAGATTTTATAGCAGTAGAAAGGTCAACTTAGCAACTAATTTGTTTGGATAAACAGAGTAATAGTGAGGAGTCAAATATGACGCTGAATTAATTTCTTTCTTTTTAATATTTTTCCCTATCAATGATGGCTCAGTAGGAAAAGAGAGGCATTTATGAGAATGACGAATTTTTTAAAAGTAAAGCATGAAAAACTCATATGTGAAACAATTCAAGAAAAATTACACAATAAACTATGTGGGGTTGCTTTAAAATGTTGGAAATTCTGAAACCATATAGAAAAAAACTTCTATACTTTAGTACCCAGTAAAATACTCTTAAAAAGAAAAGATATTCTACCTGCAAAATGTAAAAAACAGAAGCAAAAGTCTTCTTATCTTCTCTCAACCAACAGTGCTAGTCCCACACTGGTTGCATATGTCTATGTCTTTGTCTACATCTGTGTATATGTATATACACATATATATGTATATATGTATTGTATATGTGTATATACACACATACGTATAGCCAAATGGATACTTTTAATAAAATCATCTTTTTTTTCTAAATGTCTTTTCATTTTACCCCAAAACTAAGCTAAATTGACAAACTTATTTGAAACTCTTCTTGAAAAGAATACTCATGATATTTCCCCAGAAGTAACTCACCCTTCCAGGAAAGGAAGATAACCACAGTCTGGCAAAGAAGACAGGCTCCCTCCTTCACTGAGCAATGCTTTTGTTTTCCATATCAGAAACTAAATGTAGATACTCTAAGTCATTCTCTTCTAAATGAAATCTGGTTTACAATGTCATCATTCAGCTGAAACTGCTTTTTCCAAAGTTGACAAAGATTTAATTACCAGATGTAATGATCTTTCCCAAATCCTCATCCTTCTTGGTCTCTCTTCAAAAACTGACACTCCTCTTGGCCATTCTTCTTCTTTATTATTATTGTTTATTATATATTATTATTATTGTTTGTTTCTGGTACTGCTTCTGTATCTTAGTTGCCTTTCTACTTGTCTATTCTTATTCCAGCTCTCTTTGCTAGATCTTAATGTCACACTCATTAACCGTAGATGTCCACCAAGACTCTGTCCTGGGCTCTTTCTTTTTCTATACTTATCTCAATACCAGACATATCTCTACATATCTAGTCTTTCTCCTGAATTCCTTCACTAACTGTCTAGTCAACATTTGGAACTGGATGTCTTATAAAAATACCAAACCAAACATGTCTAAAACAAAACTCATCTCCAAAACTCATTATCTCTCTCCAAGAAACCCTTCTATACTTTCCTATCACTGTCAAGAGCCTCACTATCCTCCCAGTCACCCAAATGTATAACTTCAGCATTTCATCTTGGACCTCTCACTCGATGATTCCATATATCCAATCAAGTTAGCTGCTAAATGTTGTCCTTTCTCTTCTGGTAGACACAACCCTAATTTAGGCCCTCATTTCTCCACAGGTCTATTGCAATAGTCTATTAATGGGCCTCCTACCTCAAGTGTCTCCCTACTCCAATCTATCCTCTACATAGCCGCCAAAAGTGTTTTCCTAAGGCACAGGTCCAACCATGTCACCCCTTAACTCTATAAATTTTAGTGCTCTCTATTTACCTATAGAATCAAATAAATTCCTTTGTTTGACATTTAAAGCTCTTCACAATCTGGCCCCTTCCTAGCTTTCCATTTATCTTAAACAATACTACATTGTATAATGTTAATGAAGCACACATAAAGGGATGTGATGTGGTAAAGCAATAGCTCACAAACTCCTGGTACTAGAAATTCTTTCTACTTTTGTCAAGTCCTCATACAGCTCCCCTTAGACCAGGGGTTCTTAACCTTTTTTGTCCCATGGAATCCTTTGGCAGTTTGATTTAGTCTACAGATCCCTTCTCAAAATGTTTTTAAGTAACTGAAAGAAATGCTAACTTTCAGTTAGAAGTTATTAAAAATAAGGATGTCATTTGTTTCCCATCCAAGTATAGAGATCTCATGAAAAATACATTCCAGGTTAAGAACCCCATTTGGACCATCTACTTCCTTGAGTCAGCTCTGGGTGCTTCTTTATTTCGGGAAGGATAAATGCTCCCTGAAGCTGCCTCACTCTGGTACCTGTCTCTGGCATCCAAAGCAATTCCAGTTGGTCTAGTCTCTCAGACACCATTGTCAATGGGAAAAGGGATAGAGGAGAGAGAAGGGCAAATACTTTCTCTAGGCTCACTCTTCCCTTTGATCTGGGATCTTCCAGATAGACTGGCTAACTCCCAACACAGCTTGTTTTTATACATAGGCCCAAGAGGCATGACTGATTCTTTCCATTAATCACATTGATCCCTTTTTTATTTAATTAGAGGGGGAGTAGGGTATAGACAGGGCAAGGTATGACCATGTCACTCCCCTATTCAATAAACTCCAGTGGCTCTCTATTACCTCCAGGATCAAATATAAAAATCCTGTTAGGCATTTAAAGCCCCTCATAACCTGATTCCTTCCTACCTTTCCAGTTTTCTTACACCTTACTCCCCTCCATACACTCTTATTTTATGTAAAACACAATTTCCTGAGCATTTTCACTCTTTCTTGGGGCTGGAATTCTCTACCTCCTGGCTTCCCTTGCTCCCTCACTCAGCTCAAATACAACTCTTAGCCAGAAGCCTTTCTCCTCCAGTCCTCCCTAAGATTAACGTTTTCCCTTTGACACTATCTCCAATTTATCCTCTACCTTAGTCGTTTGCGTGTTATCTCCCGTTCATCTGTGAACTCCTTGAGAACAGAGACTATTTTTGCCTTTATTGTATTTGCAGGGGTAGTACCTGGCATATAGTAGGTGCTTAATGCCTGTGGATTTCTTGTATTGAAGTGGGGGGTAGAGTGCAGTACCACATTATATTTGTATCCCCAGTGTATGGTAAACATTCAATGCAATGCTGTATATATCTTAAAAGAAAAGGTTTTCTCATAAGCCATCTGTTTAACTTTCTGCTGAGTCAGTCTGTTGGGCACTATAGGCCGCCTAAAGCAGCTTCCCAAATCACATTTTAGGGGGAGTTATCACCAGATGCATTGGGGGGGGTGTCCAGGGAGGCCGTTTAGAAGAGTCTGGACAGCTGTGAGTAGTGTGTGAAACATCCGTTCTATAAGGATTCAGGGGCTGTGGTCAGTGGCTCTGAAGAGGCAGACAACACCCGCCAGGCTGACCACAAAAGAGAACAACAAAAAAACCTGATTATGGGCAGGCCCGAGTCTGGCTGGAGTAAATGAGAGCAGGAGTCGAGGCAGGAGGTAAAGGAAGAAGAGGGAAGGAGAGAGGGGCTGATGGGAGCAGCCCAGCAGCCTGCACTGGCCGCGAGCCACCAAGAGGAGGAGCAGAGAATCCTTTGAGCACATTAAAAAAGCCAGGCTTAGCACAAGCCAGAGGAAAACACATCCATAGAAGGAGCGTGAGAGAAGACAGCCCTGCAGTTTTTTTCCTCGTCTTTTCTTCTTTCTCTACTTCCTGGTGAATTGCTTCAAATACTTTTTTTTCTTCTCCCTCCTCCCCACCACTCCAAGCAACAAAGAAGAGAGAAGAAACTTTCTCCTGGTTGAGGCTTACCAGGTGAGAAGGAGGGTGTGCACCAAGGCTCCATTCGATTTCCTTTCTTTGCCCTCCCCCCGAATTCTCCCAACCCCAGCCCCCAATCCTTAGGAGTTCCGTGTGGACATCGCAGCCGGGCTCAAACCAAGCGTCCCCCCCGCCCCCCCATTTCCTCTCTGCTGGAGAGAAAGGGAGAGAGGTTTGGAGAAGAAGGAGGCAGCAGAAGCAGCGGCAGCTGCAGCGGCGACAGCAGCAGCAGCGGCAGCAGCCAACAGCAGCAGCAACAGCAGCACCCCAGGAGGAGGCTGAGGCAGAAGCGCTCCCGGCCAGCTCCCTCTAACAACGCCGCCGCCGCCCCCTCAACCCCGCCCCCTCCCCCCAGGACTCCCAGACATGAACGCCACTGCGAGAAGTCTCCTTCTCTCCCTCTCCATCCTGCTCCTCTGGAAGCTGGATCGGTTCAGCGAAGCCTGTAGCTGCTCCCCGGTGCATCCGCAACAGGCGTTTTGCAATGCAGATGTAGGTAAGAAAAGGCGGTTCCTCTCCTTATCTGTAGTATTCTCGGCCGGGCTTCGCGGCCACCTCCCTTCTTCCCCCACCGCTTCCTCACCCGGTTCTTTATCGCCTCTTGGATTCAGCACTTGGAAGCCACCCTCACCCCCAACTCAAATGAAATCTCCCAGGGGTGGGGGTGGGGGTGAAGGAATCTCACGTGGTGGCCAAATAAAAACCACTTGTTTAAACTAGCATCCACCCTTAACTCCCCTTCTTCTCCCTCGGCCCCCCACCTCGCCCCAACCCCTCTATCCTGAGCACAGAAGCGTTAGTTTCGTTAGACTCGGTTGTAAGTTTGACATACATTTGTCCCCTTTATCTCCTTCTCTTTCTTTCTCTCCTTCCCTCCCCCTTTCCTCTCTCTGATGCTTCTCAACCTCAGAATTCCGCTGAAATTCCACTGCAGCTCCAACCCCAGAAAAGGAGCCAGGGAATGGATTTGATTTTGGCAGTCGGCGGGCTCGAGGATGCTAGTAGGAGTGGGGGAGGGAATGGGAGACACAGCAGAGAAGAGGCAAAGCGGGGCTTTCTTTCCTCCCCCGACTCTCACCTCTTTCTTTTTTTTCCCCTCCCAAATCGAGCCGAGGAGGTGAAGGTAAGAGCCTCCCTCGGGAAGAAACTTTTGCAGGTGGGAAGGCTCTATGCCTGGGGTTGAATCAGTTGGTCTCCCCTCCCCCCTTCATTACCCGCACCCCCTCCTTTTTTTCCTTTTTCTTTTCTTCCTTTTTTTTTCTCCTTAAAGAAAAAGCTCCCTCCTCTTGAAGGATGCGAGACACTCTTCACAGACCAAATTTCGAGGGCTTGGAGTTTTCTTAGGGAAAGCCACCGTGTGAAAGATGGGCCTGATGTCTTGCCCAGGGTTCTCCCACAAAGCAGACTCTGCTTGTGTGGAGTGAAACGGTCTTCACTTTGTTTAAGATTTCTGTATGTGTGCATTGGGACTTTTACAAATGTTCTTGAAGTTTCTGGTGACTAGAAGTGGAGGGGTGGGGGAAGTCCTGCCCTTGACCCTGTCGCTGTTAGAATTTCAGAGATAATTTTTATTCTCCTACCCTCACTGGAGTCCTAGGAGAAGATGGCAGGAGTCAGGAAAAAAGAAGAGTGGAGAAAAAAAAGCTGGACTGATCCATGGTGGGTCCGGCAGACAGGGGGCAGCCAGAAAAGAAAGGAAAAAGCTGAGCAGGGTAGATTTCAATCTACTTACCAAGTATAAATAGCTTCACAGGCCTTTAAGCTCTTGGTCATGATTAGCCATGGTTTTTTTCAGTTTAACCAAAACAGAAGATATCAAGGTCAGGTTCTCTAGCCCACTATGCTTTTGTGTCAGGTTTATTTTTCCCCCTAAGGACTCTGCAACCCAAGCTCCTATTCCTAACCTCCTTCCTACTCCCACAGTCTTTTTTCCTTGTTAAGTCAGATAAGGAGATACAAGGTGAGGTATTGATCACCTGCCCTGGCCTGAAACTGGGGTTCCTCTTCCCCCCTGCCCCCTCACTTTAGTTGATGATTTCTTACATCTCCTGGTTTTTACCCTTCCTACCTCCCACAACAACAACAACAACAACAATAAAAACACCTGACTTGGCTTTTTTGGATTATATTGGCTTTCCTCATAGGCTTATAGTTCTGTACTACCTGTGGGAAGGACTCAAGAGTAGATTCAGGCTTTGCATTGTTTCATGGTTTCTTATTTTAATAATAATATCCAAACACATTTAGGTTTGCAAAGCCCTTCATCCTCAAGGGAAAAGTGAGTCACTCCCAAAGATTTGTCAGAATTTTGGTTTGACCAAGATGAATGCAGGATTATGTGGACACAATTATATGGATGACTCAATTTAGGAACATTTGGTCTTAAAAATCAGGGAGAGAAGGTGGTTCTTCCCAAACAGGATTTTAGAGAGGATGAGAAGGTGTTGAGGTATTCAGTTTGAAAGGAGAGGTGCATCCTAACTATCTCAGATGTGGAAATAGTCTAGGTTCTGGTGACTGCCTTCTCTTATACTCATTTCCCATTGAGTTTTACTGGGAGCAGGCTCGCAGATTTAGAGCTGGAGAAGACCTCCAAGGTTATCTGGTCCAGCTCCTTCATTTTACAGACAAGACAGCTGAGGTTTAGAGATTGACCTACCCAAAGTCACACAGGTTACACTAAATGACAGAGGCAGTATTCAAAGCCACATCATCTAATTCCAAAGCCAGAGCCCTTTCTAGTATGCCACCACCATTTGTAGGGAATAGCAGCAAGATTTACTGAGTCAGTGAATCATATCTCATGGGACTGAATCAGATCCAGACAATTGGGAGAAGCACATGGATCTCAAGACACACAGGTTCCTGTTTACTCAGTGCTTACCAAGGGGCTGGACTCAGGGAAAGCACCTCCACATATCTCTGCTGCTTTGAAAATAAAACAGAAAATTACTTCTTTCATCTGACTGCTCCCTAATCCCCAGGCCTCTTCCTCTTTGATTTGTTGGATTGCCAGGCCAGTGCTACAAATGGATGCCAGGACTATTTCAATTCTTGGTATGGTAGGGGGAGAGTACTTCTTATTTATTGAAATGAGGAATCACCCTTTTAAAGTGGGCCTCTTTATAGTTCATATAGTTCAGCCCTCTCTACCTTCATTCTTCTGCAGTGTCTCAGCTTAGATCATCAGAAACATAAGTTGGTCAAGTGTTCCAACATTGTCTTCTCTCAAGCCTTTTTTTTTTTTGGAAATGAGGCTGGTTAGAGATTGGATTAAATTGGGAGGCCCAAAGTGTTGATACAGAATCATTATTTTGGTCAATAAATCCTCTACAGTTAAGCAATAATGACTCACATTTTTTTGCCTTTTCAATTGTTTTGTTGCTGTTTAGTCCTTTCAGTGATGTCCAACTCTTTGTGACCCCATTTGAGGTTTTCTTGGCAAAGATACTAGAGGTTTGCCCTTTCCTTCTCCAGCTCATTTTACAGATGAGGCAACTGAGTTAAATAGGATGAATGACTTGCCCATCATCACACAACTAGTAAATGTTTGAGGTTGTATTTAAACTTAGGTCTTCCTGACTCCAGGCCAAGTGTTCTATCCACTGAGCCATTTAGCTCTCCTTTCTAATTGTATCTCAGCACGATGTCTAGAGCATAGTAGGTGTTTAATAAATACTTGTTCACTTGATGTTTGTACATCACTTTAAAGTTTGCAAAGCATTTTCTTCACAATAACTTGAACAGTAGGTAATAGAATTATTATCGTTCCCATTTGACAGATGAAGAAATTGTGGTTTTGAGAAGCCATGATTGGTTGACAGTCACAGAGCTAGGGAGTGTCAGAAGCAGGATTTAGGTCTCCTTACTATGGTGGCAGTACTCTATACGTTATGACATATTACCTCCCATGAGCTCCATGAGGGCAAGCACCTTGTCTTATTTTTTTTTAAGTGGAATCACATTTTAAATTTCAGGGCAGCATGTATTTATTTTTTATAATTTTTTTAAAGTGTCCAAACTTTAGGACCAAATGAATATTAAATTCTATTCAACATTGGCCCAAATTCCCTTGTGATCTTTGTTAATGGGCATACATAAGTTTTTACAGAGTTGTGAACAAAGGCAACCTGGTATATTGTGAAAACACTTGGATTCAGGAAGACCTGAAGTTTGAATTCTGGCTCTGTATTTTCAAAGCTATGTGTAGCCCATTTAGTCCTTCAGTAACTCAGCCGTTTACTTTTATTGTAAAGATTCAATGTACTTTGGGGTTTTCTGCTAACCAGAGATATCCTTATCAAGATTCTTAAACCTTTTTTGTGTCATGGACTGCTTTGGCAATCTGGGGAAGCCTTAGGCACGGCTTGTCAGAATAACATTTTCAAATGCATAAAATGAAATACGTGGGATTGCAACAGAAACTAATTATATTGAAATACAGTTAGCAAAATGTTAAACAAGTTCACAGACCCCAGGTTAAGAACCCCTGTACTGGAAAATATTTGTATGTATAGCCTGTACATCTATTCTCCCTCTCCTCTTTGAATTTCAGCTGTTGCCAGGCGGATCTCATTGATGATAGGCATTGCAACCAGATTCATTTGGTTTTTTGTCTTGTTTTTGTTTGGGAGAGTAAATGGGCACTTAACCAAGTGATTTGCCCAGGGTGACATTGCTAGTAAGTGCCCAAGGCTAGATTTGAACGCAGGTCTTCCTGACTCTAGGACCAGTGCTCTATCCAAACCAAAAACCATCTGGATACATTTCAGTTGTGAGTTTGGGGGGTTAAATTTCATAGAGAATGAAGGGCAGATAAGATCCAAAAACGTTCCTGAGGCCAACTGCATTGTTACCCATTTAGACCTAGTGCAGCACCACATATGATTGGACATAAAGTTTAGGAGAGTATAAAAAGACTCCACATTTATTAAGCACCTACTGTATGCAAGGTGATATTGCTAGGTGCTGAGAGCTAAGTGATGAGGTCCTTAGCCCTAGAAGAGCTTAAAATCAATGGGGTAAGGACAAATGCACAAGCAAATATAATACAAAGAGCATGAAAATACATTTCAAGTTCAAATATGTTATGAGGATACAGAGGAAAGAATTTTAGTCCTGAGGGTCACTGGCAGGAAAAGAAGAGGCATTAGAGGAAAAAAGAACATAGGTGTTACAGGATCTGGAAGTCATCCAGGGAAGTGGAGTAAGAACTCTGGAGACAGTACAGTTCTCTAACAAACTGATCATGCCACTCTAAATAGTCTTTGCCTTAATAAAAAGGATTTTTTTCAAGTGTCTTTCTTAACACAGCTCAGTGGCTTCAATTATATGACTGCATGGATCTTCTTCATCTCTTGGAGCATGGGAAAACTCTTCATTCTTCATATAATAAAGCCCTACTATCATTAGGGCATGTACTGTGAGATATGTTCAAGCAGGGATAATGTATAGACACCAGTATGTTTACAGCATCTCTCTTGGTTCCCTTTTATG